CCCCAAAACCCCAAAACCCCAAAACCCCAAAACCCCAGAAGGTGAGGGATATATTGATAATTTATAAAGATACTATAAAATGGAGGGACCAGTTCAGGATCTTGCCGCCAAGGCTGGCTTAGAGAAAAGGTAAGTGCACTGCTTTAGCTAGTTATGTACAAATATCTTCAATTGAGATTTAAATGGGAGGCTCGACCAGCCTGCTTTGGCAAGGATCTAAGCCTGTGTTGAAGCTTGATTCGTAGGAACAGGCCTATGGCTGCACCAGGGTTTCAGGGCTTCAAAGTTCTAGTAAACTTAGGCGCCTCTTCCTCAATAGCATTTATGGGATTTCTCCTTAACTGTTCTAAATTATTTAGAAGTGAAGAATCTACTTTGAAAGAGGAGAGAAAGAAGGACCACCAGATTTTCAAAGACCTTTATTCTTATTCTGACTTAGAACAAATTAGATTAAACAAGAAAGGTATGGCTTCATTCGATATCAAAGTTGAATTGCGACTGTTTTTTGGCCAACCAAAAGATAAAGAGTTTATAAGGAAGGTCGGGTCAGTTCCATTCTTTACCTATAATGCGATAACTTGTGACCAGTCCAGCAATGGTCATAAATATATTAGTAAGTTCCTAAACACTTCATTCCCGATGGAAGTGAATGAGTTTGCATTTATTGGAACGTTTGGAATGAAGAAGAATATCTCGAAGTATTTCAATTCTATTATGAGACTTGGTCACAGAGTCTTGAAAGAAGTGTTTTTCAGCGGACTGAAACTAAATAGACATCAATTAAAAAGATTGCTAGTCTCTTTCAAACATGTTCAACGTTTCAGAGTACTTTTATCCAAGCTTTGAGTTCCTTATGTGTTTGATCTTTCTCAAGCACTTATAAACACCCAGATTGAAAAGATACATCTCAGATATTGAGGAGACTCAGAAAGTAGCTATTGGGAGAACAACCCCCAAGGATTTATAAATTTAATCCAAAGCCTTGCAACCTCAGACGATTTAAAGCTGACTCTCTCAGAAATAAACATTAGTCATTGCAAAATCAGTTGAGATGAAGCTAAACAGATTTTGCAAGATAATGGTCTTGGATCAGTACAATTAATATGTTAGTTCCTAAAATTGAGCTAAGATTCCCTATAACCTCACACTAATATACTTTTATCGTAGTTCAACTGGCAAAGCTTCAGCACATATTAGGGTAGAATTATGCCCGCAGAACGGGTTAGTTAGACCGCTAGCCTCGACTATGTATTCATGACAATTGAGCCTCCATTTTATTTCAATCTTAAAAATATTATTTGGGGTTTTGGGGTTTTGGGGTTTTGGGGTTTTGGGG